AAACAGTGTTGCGTCTTTAATCATTAATGGCGAACGTCATCATTTAATACTGATTGAAATAGAAAATAAAAAGCACCATTAAATTTTCTTACACAAAAAAACCCCAGATGATTAGGAAATTATTTAAAATTTCGAGCGTTTGGTTCCCTACAGCGAACCCACATATCGGTTAAGCAGACAAGCTACGTAAGCTGGCGTAGCATGTTGCATATTATCGAAAATGAACAATTGGAGGTGGCATGTTTGCCATGCCATAACATAATCAAGCTCCTTTTATGTCAAATTCGAGACACAAATTAAAATAGGATATTTCAAATGTCGAATTTGTTAACTATTTATAAAACCATCATATTTTAAATCTTGTGAAAGATACATACATTTGTATTGATTTTCTTGAAAGCAAAGAGCTGTATAGTCACGACAGTCAATCATTTAATATGTAATGGTTAAAATAAACAGTGATTCGTGAAATGTCATGATTTTAAAAAAAAATAATTAAATGGTAAAATCCTTTTAAACGACCAGGACTTTCCACTTAAATAACCGACTCCTTCGATTAGATCGATTTTTGTCTAATCAAACATTTAATGACCGAAATAAATCAAACGGAATATTTAAGTAGGCCTATAAAATATAGGTCCTGATCACAATTAGCGTGTAATACAGTTCGATTATAGCTTGATAAAATAATACATGGTGTATTAACTCATTTTTCACTGCATCAAACCCAATCACCAACCGTTCATTAAATTAAAAGGATTCTAAATATGTTAAAGGTATCTGCATCAGTGGAACTATAGGGCCTATATTCAAAACGATTGCTTTATTCATTATAATTACAGTATTGTTAAATGTTGTTTGACCCAGGGCCGAGAACTGGGCTCATAAAACTGGTAATTTAGTGTTAAGGACTATTAGGGGAATTTAACCTGGTTCTGTAAGAGAGAGAGAGAGAAGTGGGGTTTAACGTCCACTCGACACAAACTAGGTCTTTTCGGGACAAACATATGGTTTTTAATTTTGTTTCAATAATTAGCTTGCGCGTAGGGGTCTTTAGCAGTGGGAGGAAACCGGAAGACCCGGGGAAAACCCAAGAGGTTGGACAGACCACGTCAGTTGACTAAATGACAGGCCATCCAACCCGCCCTTCTGTAAAAGATGAATCGTTAAAAACTCACAGTATTGTCTGGATACCCCGCAGGCGCCTGTAACGTAGAAAATCTCCTTCAAAAACTCTTCATCTTCATACAAATTATTAGTGGACTGCTAATTGTCTGTAATGCAGTACCGCTGTGGCTCCAGAGATTTCTTTGTTCGAAGTATATTTGGAACGTGTTTAACCAATTCTACCACATGTAAAATCTCTGGACGTTATATATTGTTCTTTAGTTGATCTTGGGGCGGCTGTTGACTATTTTATAAGTTGTTGTATGTTTTGTGTCGACGGGATTATGTCTATCAGGTAGATGAGTCAGAACGCTATATCCCAGTGTTTTATCGTGTAATGTTTATGGCACTAGTTTGGTTCAATAAATCGTATAAAGTCGGATGCAATTTGGGAACAAAAATGATTCAAATTTCGAACTGTATATAATCTATAATACATTTCTTAACTAACAGAAAATGTGAGTGCATTGGAGGAGGAGGGTCTTATGGAACCTCCCCCTGTCATCTCCATGGCCACTTCGGACTACTGCCATGTTAACAGTGTTCAGATTGTTGGTAGGGCAGTTTTTGTGGTTGTGTTGACTATTAAACATTTTTTTACTTGCAGTAAGATTCCAGTCAGCAGTTGTTCGTGCTAAATATTCGCCTAAACTGGATAAGTGAATTGTTATAGATTCGTTTTCAAAATTGCGGTAAATCATGTTTAGTATGATGACGTGTATGCCGTTAATCTTTAATAAAAAAAAACTTTCAAGAAAAATACTTGCATCCATATTACTTTAGAATAACACGTAATTTAGCGTGATCAATCTCATTTTCTGTCCTTTTTTTTTTAAATAAAAAGCAATATTTCTCACCTTAAATTCACATTAACCGACTACATAAATCATGGGATCTATTACATGACCTATCCACCAACTTATAATATGCTAGATGACAAACGAACATAGATAAAGTAATTAATAAATAAAGATCTCCAATTGCATCGTTAGCGCAATAGCCGAATAATATTGTGATTTGTTATGTGGCCTTGATAGTAGCTATAATATAGTCATTTTCGGAAAAGGCGGTATAACTCATGAACGGAAGGTCACTGAATGCTGAAAATTAGTATTACGCTGTTCTAAAGGACTGCGATTTACATAATGGCAATTCTTTAGTTTAAGTTTGGTGGCTTTAGTTTAGTAATTAGAGTAACCCCAATTTAACGAACGAGAATGGCGATTCCGGAAATTCAGAGAAGTCTATGCAAAGACCCTATTGACGAAACAATCAAGTCCACGCGTTTGCAGCTGTGTTAGTGGCGTGACCAATCTGATTGAAATACAGATCTATATTTCGTTTCGTTTTTCTATTCTTTCGATGGCCTCTACTACATGAAGATCTGGCCAGTTGTAGTGACAGGTCGCTTCAGGAGTCATACGAGCGGCTTTTGACTCTATGACGTCAGATATTGATTAATCAGTCAGCATTTGAAGTACCCAGTGGTTTACCCACAGTTACGTGCACAGCATGCCAAGAACCCGCCGTAACAGATCGTTTCGTTGTTTAATTCCTCATATCAACCAGAACGCCTGATACATAACAACTCTTCCAGAACCTAGTGTTGTGAAGACAAATAAAACGAAATTTTGAACTATAAAAAAACGGAACAAAATAGGCTCTGTGTTTTAATCAGATTGTGACGTGACCAACCGGATACAAGGAAATAAATAACATATTGACGTACTATTTATAATTGGATTGAGATATTATATGTAGAATATAATTAATTATACATATTAAGATGACGAAAGTGGCCCACAATAACAAGTTAAACAAGGAGATGGATAGAATTACTTAACTATATATGTGTGTTAATGATCAATAATGTCATTACATTTCCTTATTTAAAAAAAAAGAAATCAAATTATTTCAGACCCGAGAGACGTGAAATATCACCAATCAGGAAGACGTCTTGTCAAAAGGAAATATTCCCCGGTTTTTCTTGGACTCTAACTTATTGTTCGTTTGTTTTTCATTTTGAGTGAAACCAGTATCAGTACAGGCCCGGATCTGTACAGCGAAGTGAATGATTACGGCCAACCAGCCGATCCATTCACTTGATCTGAAATATACATTTGTTATTTGTTGTATATTGGGTCCTCTACGTGTTTTTGTTTTCTTGTGTAATTGTTTATGTGGGGTGCGACCCTCCTGTACTTGCTATTATAGCGGCGAGAGACTGTTTATAATCAGATGTTATTTGGATTCGTTTTCTGTTTCTTTTTATGTTCTTGCATCTGTAATGTAAGATAAATTAGAACTATAAAAGCAAAAATAAAAAAAAGATTTAATTAGAGTTAGAGAAGCTTACAATAAAGACAAACAGTTGTATGGTGTAATGGAAGTCCATAAAAGGGATTATAAAACTTAGGCACACTACGGTCTGATACTGATAGCTCCCGTTCACTTATATGTCGCTACGGATATTAGTCTGGATGGATTGTCAACATCCAACACTTCTAAGTTTATTTTACTGCAATTTTTTTTTCTCTTTAAAAGTCATATCTATGGATTTTCTTTATTTTAATAATATCGTCGTCAGCTCGTTCTTGCCTTTAGCTAAAGAGTTCCATTGCCATTGCATAACAGGGAATTTGGTTATTTATGTGGTTGATTATCCAAGTCACATTCCCTCAAATGTGTACAAATGGCCCAGACTCCCCATACGTTAAAATAGCTAAGTCTCTAACTCAATATCATCCAAAGTCTTCGACATTTGAAAACATAAAAATATTTGTCAATTTAAATCAACATTGATGTTGTGATCATACCGGGTATAGATGGGTTTCTGATATCCAGTATTTAAGACGAAATAAAGGTTTACAATTGATACACGAATCTTGTACCATAATACGTTTGAGGGTCATTTGTAACAAGGGACCCGAAGACATATTCCACAAGTCATGTCAAACGGTGACGTCATATTCTTATCTGGAGAGCATGTGCAGTAAATACTATCGAAGTAGACTGGAATAACCAGGCGCTAGAGGTTGCAATTCGATTTAGACTTCTAGCATATTTCGCCGAACATAACTGATTTGAAATTAGAGTGAAAACGGAAACGATTGAATGTAAATCAGTTTATATACATTCATATTACATTATTATATGCGTTGCTACCCATTTCTGTCAGTGTCTAGGTCCCAAATATTAGCGACTTACCTCCTTTAAAGACTAGGCGGTTCTGGATGGCCGCGACTAATATGTTACGTCTAGAGACTGAAGTCAATACTTGCAGTTACGTCGAAGTCGGATAATTTGGACGCACACGAAAAATAAAGGTTTATACCATTAATAATAATATCCGCATTTCTTTGTTGCAAATACATAATTAAACAACCTTTAACATTTTTCTACCCACCTTAGTGGATTTAAACGTTTTATCGATTTTCCGTGATTGTACATTTACATACTAGATAGGGCATACGCCATGTGTGCTAAGGGGGGGGGGGTGCCCGGAAAGCGAAGCTACGATGTACTCTATCGATTTCCAACTGTCTAGGATTCTTTTACTTGCACGCTAACTTGTACACAGTACCTCAATCCTTGCCAGACCCTCCATCCTACACGACTGGCACGGGGAAACCACCCAGGAAAATCCGGGAGCACTTTCTGGGCCAATACCTGGATCGAACCACAGATCTCCTGATTAGTGAGTCAGCGCATTTTTCGTTTAGAAAAATGAATTTGTAGATTTCTTAACTAAAATGGGTCTGTTATTTTCTATTGCAGTTGAAAGTGCAGTCCAGTGGTAAAATATTATAATGGATCCCGATAAAGAAGAGACAGTCCTTGAGAACGGAAGTTGGCATAATTATAGTTATGTGGAGGAACCTACAGTAAGTGACTATTACCAGACACTCATGGACACAGCAACATTGATACAAAAATATTACATCTGGGTCATCTTTTTCGTAGGATTTCCAGGAAATCTCGCAAGTCTTGCTACTATTATAAGAATGAAACCAGTGACGTCACTAACGTGTTACGTGGCTTTGCTAGCCATAGTGGATAACACTACGTTAGTAATAAAACTTACCCATCTACTTCTCCAAGATTACAATCTAAAGATCATGTCGAATTTTGAGTGCAAAATTTTGACGTTTTTGGGAAATGTCTTCTTAAATTATGCTAGTTGGATTATCGTGGCTATGTCGATCGAACGTTTTGTTGCAGTGTGGTTCCCGCTAAAGCTTGGAATTAACTGGACAATAAAAAGGTCGTTCCTTTCCATGGGAATACTCTTTTTGTTCCTTTCTGGAGTTTACATCCATTTGCTGTGGACGATTACGTCATATTATGGCAGTTGTGAGATCGGTGAAGTTTACCATAATTATTTCATCACCAAAATTTGGTACTGGATCAGCGCTTGTCTATACGCCATTTTTCCTTGTATTATACTCTTCGTGTTCAACTTCTTGATCATAATTGGTATCCGAAAATCAGCGGATGAACACAAGACTTTAACATTATCACCATCAACCGCGACACCGCACCGAGACGTGACAATTATGTTAATTGTGGTGTCTGTGGTCTTTTTGATCCTGACTGCTCCTATTTGCATATTTCTACTTCTCGGACAAACATGGCTTCCTCACAGGTATAGCGATGAGTTCGCCCAGAAGGTCCTGTGTCAACAAATCGCGTACGTTCTCTGTGACACCAATCATGCCGTGAATGTATTTTTATATTTCCTCAGTGCCCGGAGATTTCGTCGTCATTTTAATGAAATTTACAGGTGTAGTCATTCATCGTCTCCCGATACGGTGCTGCTTAGAAATAGGACATACAGATACACTAATAAACTGCAGTGTCCTAGCTCACACATTGACGAGGACACAGAGTCAGTTTCAGCACTACGTCACCAATCTTCTCATTAGATATATCAAGCCTTGAAAAACACCGAACAGACGTTTTGTTAATATAAGATTCTCTTCATTTCACATCACTATCATGAATTGTATATTACATTTCATTCTTGTTCAACAATTGTTTTACAGGGTTGTCATCTTTTGTATATGAATTGTGTTTTCGCAGTCAAATTTAAACAAAATGAATGTTTTACTCGGATTAATAAATAAATTCATTTATGTCGGAGGGAGGCGTATGTTGTTGATATGGCTACAGCCAAGAGTTCCCCTTTGATTTTTATGTTAGTCGTTATCTCTTTGCCCGACGTATGGGGTTCACCTTTGAAACCTTGAGATACCCAATTGACATACTAGTGAACATGTAACTGCATTTGAATATAACCAACCTCTTAACTAGGTGTGGTCGATTGATATAATGTTCGGATACTCTGATTTCTCCCCCTTGGCGCACGCGAATTATTGAAATAAAAATGTAACTATAGTGGACCACTCTCTATTTCTCTCAATTTTGTTATCAATACAAAATAAACCCCAATGCATCTGTCCCAAGACCATCAATATGGATGTCCACATGGGTAACGTCCGTTTTAATAAATATTCCCGTTGAATGATGTCGAAAATGTCAACGGTATTTTCCTTTAATCAATTATGACAATCGAAGGAGCCAATAATAGATTTTTATTAGGTACATTATTTATTCTTATTGTTTTTCTGTAGAATATATTAAGTATAGACACGAATATTCTCTTTTAATTAATTGAATTATCCTGTACATGTATAATTCTTATTTTTTTTAACTAGAATAATTAAATATTAGGTAAAATATGGAAACTGTATGTCTAACATTCGGTACATTTACATTTTAAATTATTGTATATATTTTGTATATATAGGTATTTTATGACTATGTAAATTGTGTAGTATGTGAATAAAGTATTGTATTTTACATATAGCTTTGCTAATTTATACAAGCTGGCAACAGTAAAGAGCTTTAAAGATAATTTATTCTTAAAAATATCTGATATATTTATGGTAAAACAGAAGTTTTATTTGATTACATGTAAACCACTAACTGGTTGTTCATGTATACAGTTCACTTAATGACTTATTGTAAATTTTGTCTCAATTCTGCACTTAAAAAATTTAATGAAGGCGTAAATTATCACCATTGATAGACACGTGTACAAGCAACATTTCCCCCAATTTCAAAGAAATTTTCATGGAAGTTTCCTGTGTATGGTTACCATTTGAAATATAGGGATTTTAGCTATTTTACGATGTGGACTGATTTTCAAAGCTAATTTTCCAAGAAAGCGACAAAGATTTGGCTTTCAATATGTCTGTTCTAGAAACACATATAGACACACATGTGACAAGTAACAATCTTTAATATACCGAAATATTGAATTTTTTTCACACAAGTAATGATTTGTGGCACTCCATACATAGTCGACATTACTTGTTCGGATAATTTGATGGAGTATTATAAATCCCCAAATTTGAAGAAAATTGTCGAACTAGACGATATAAAAGCAGTAATTTCAAAACTTGCAAATAAGTACCCCAATTCTAAAGGCCATATCTCAGTCAATATTAATGCTAGAGTCATATATAACTTTGCAGTTTCACATGTTTCAACTCAATGTAGAGAGATATTTATTCTACTATCAAGGCGTCTTCTTTAATGTGGATATACCCCCCGCCCTTATTGTACAGATACTTATCATACTGCCGGGGTGTTCACTTTAATCTAGAAGAATATTTATCGATGAATACGCTGTAACAAAAATATCCGTGGAAATACGTAAAAAGTTCCGGAAGCAAAAATTACCAGGTAAGTTTTATCCGTATTTGTTTTTTCTGAAGTTTACAGAAAGAAAGTCCTTCAATTAACATAAATCCCACATTTTCAGATAGAGAAAAAAAAATCCTGATAAGTTTTATTTCCGGAGCATAAAAGTGAAAAAAAAAAGTCATTGATTTAGAGGCAATTAACTCTTCGCTGTTGCAGCATGCCCAAGAGCTTACCATTGACTTTTATTTCCGCTAATATAAGAATACGCAATATCCTAATTCGTAGACGAATGCAAGGTAAGGCAACACAAACCGTTATACTCGTAAGTGATTGGACTGGTTAGAGGCTTTCAGATGTATGCTTGCGGTACTATCAGTTTGCAGGCACGTGTACTCTGCTGTAGCGACAACCCGGCTTAATCTGGCCAATCGGTTATATTATCCGTATTTAAGCGTGCTTGATTACTAGATAATACAAAATAACGAAACGTTAAAACATGTTTTTATACATTTATGAAAATACTTACTGATTAACGTATGGTGAATAACAATACACTTTATAGATCTTATAAATAATGTAAATTAGATATACAGGGTGACCAGCAAAAACACATAACCCATGATATTTTTTATTAAATTTCTTGAAGTTCAACCTGTGTGAGAGCATTCACCAAAGTTCAGTTATCTTGGTGGCTTTGCATAAATGTCATGTTCTCTCCAAAATATGGACCCTTTTGGTTTTTGTAAATGGTAAACAACCCATGTTTTAGAAACTTGGTGTTGGTATTGTCTTGATTGAAAAAGCATTGGTTACGTATCTATTTGTTTCACGCGATAACAATTTGAAAACATTCGAGAATTAAATTTCCACATCGCTTCACTTTAGTCATTTCATCACATTTGTGTAACTCTCTGTCAGGGTGCTTTTGTTTATATATTAGTAGTATAAAACTTTGATATCTTGGTTGTTAAAATGGCATTGTTTTTGCTCTCTAACACGAAACATTTGCTTCGAAAAAAAAAGCTTATTTTCGGAATGCCATTTTACGATTTCTTTCGCCGAGTAAGGTTTAGTATGCTATTATTTACACATCACATTCAATAAAACCTTTGAGACCCAACATTATCCGAACCACGTCTGTATGTCGCGTTGGCTCAGTGAGTAAACCGTTTGCTCGCTAAAGAGGAGGTGTTTGCGACTGGGACGAAAAACCGAGGTACGTGAGAGAGAGAGAAGCCTTTGCTTCAAAACAAAAAGCTTAGTTTCGGAATGCCATTTTACGTTTTCTTTCGCATTCAATAAAACCTTTGAGACCCTAACATTGTCCGAACCGCGTCTGTATGTCGCGGTGACTCAGTGAGTAAGCCGTTTGCGGTTGGGACAAAAAAACGAGGTACGTGTGAGAGAGAGAGAGAGAGAGAGAGAGAGAGAGAGAGAGAGAGAGAAAAAATGGGAACGTCCACTCGACACAAACTAGGTCATTTCGGGACTAACATATGGTTCAATTTTATTTCAATAATTCGCTTGCGCGGATAGGGTTCTTTAGCAGTTGGAAGACCCGGAGAAAACCCACGAGGTTGGACAGGCGACCCTACTCCTTATTTCGTGCTACCGGGGAATCGAAACCACGACAGTTGACTCAATGACAGACCTTATGATACAATGCGCACGCGCTAACCATTCGGACACCCCCCCACCCCGTCTACGAGGTTCGTTTACGTTCGCGTGCGCGCAAAAGAGCCCGTTACAGTTGGAATTCCGAATAAGAGTAGGCCGTAGCGCAGCAGTCAGGTCAAACTTCTCCCCATGGCATGCTGCATAACGTATGCCCGTCTACATTTGCTCGGGTAGGGCAGACAGGTAGGTCGTTAAATCCGCTTTCATTTCATATCAAATCCCGTCTTAAATAATATACAAGGCAGAAGGTGAAGTTTGCCGTGGATTATATTATGCGAGTTCAGATGTCTCAGGGAGTCCTCAAATTGGCATGTCGACTAGACTATGGCATACATTTATCGGTGAGGCCCTCAATTTGTGCATGTCCACTAGACTATAGCATACATTTGTCCGTGCGGTCATCATTTTGTTCATGTCGACTAGACTAGCATACATCTGTCGATAATAATGAAAATTATATAGCATCGACACGTTTCTGTTACAATTTATAAAAATTACAGCAGATAATGAATAAACCTGTATACTCATTACAATAACAAACAGTCGTATTATATTTACTATTCAAAAAAAGTAGGGGATATTTGATTTTGGGGGCATAATACTAAAATATGCAAATGACTACGAAAAAAGTCACTATAGAACCTAACAGAAGAAACATTTCCAGTTACATGTGACGCCCAAACGCACCAATAGCAACCGCATGGAATGCAGGTGATGCTTGGGATCATCATGGGGGTCCAACCCAAGATTTGCACGACTCTGACTTTGAATGTTACAGTCATTGTGGCATTGAATTCCAGGGTGGAAACATCAGTTTAATTGTTTTAGTGACCAGAAAACAAATTTTGATATGCGTCGGCTTACCCAAAATGAAAGGTTACGTGCCCTTGGCATGCTACAGATCGGCACAACACAGGCGGTTGTGGCGCGGACGATGAATGTTTCTCAGTCTGTCATAAGCAGGCTATGGTCCAGATACCGTGATACACAATCTGTACAGGACAGACCACGCTCAGGTCGACCAAGGGCGACAACTCAAGCCCAGGATCGATTTATCCGTACCTTGGCCTTGAGAAATCGTGTCATCACAGCAAATCAGATCAGCGCTCGTCTTCAAACAGACACTGGTGTGAGAGTGAGTGGCCAGACGATTCGGAATCGACTGCATAGGGTCACCTTCGCGCCCGACGTCCTCGCGTGATCCCTTGTTTGAGAGATCATCACATTCAGGCAAGACGTCGTTGGTGTAGGGATCGTCAACACTGGGATAATCGACGCTGGAGCAATGTGATGTTTTCAGATGAGTCAAAGTTCACTGTTGATTTTTTGGACAGACGAAGGAGGGTGTGGCGTCGTCGAAACGAGCGCTTCCAAGACGTTAACGTCATCAGACATGATCGATTTGGGGGTGGTTCTGTTATGGTGTGGGGAGGCATCACTGTTGCTGGAAGAACGGCTTTACATGTTGTTGCAGGGCGTGTTACAGGCCAGTACTACCGGGACAACATCTTGGCAGTCCATGTTGTGCCGTTCGCACGACGTCATGGCCGCCGTTTCATCTTCCAGGATGACAACGCAAGATGTTACAGGGCCAGGATCGTTACAGGTTACCTCCAACAACAGAACATCACCACATTACCTTGGCCAGCACTGAGTCCCGACCTCTCCCCCATCGAGCATGTCTGGGACATGCTTGGACAGAGGTTACGTCAACGTCAACAACGTCCTGCCAATGTCCAAGAACTTGCTGCGGCGTTGCAACAGGAATGGGACAATCTGGACCAAAATGACCTTAGCCCAGTTGGTGCAAACAATTAATAAGTCAACCCCCACTTCACTTCATTTATAATACAAACAATGTACAAAGTACAGTAACGGGCATCTTAGTAGAAACTGGCGAAGACCTGCAAAACTAATGCCTGTTTAAATTTTGTTCTGACCTGTCTGTATTAAAACATGCACGACCTGACGGAAACCTGCAAAGAACTTATGCCTCTTTAACTTAGATTCCCGACGTGTCTATAATGAAAAATGCAAGAACCTGGCAAGACTTCAGTTAAAAGAGAATGGTGACAGAATGACATACAAGACAGGATACTCAGGAAGCGTTCTTTATTTGCTTCATGGATAATTTTACCATAAAAGGTAGTGCGCAAAACTGATAAAATGAGTAGGTTTAAGGGGTGGGGCACGTCTAATCTGTTATAAGACAGTTAACAAGAAATAGCCGAAACCAGGTTAACAGAGAGTACATACAGGTAACACCGTGGAGTTATTACCAGTGGT